TAGACAACTTCAAAAGAAAATAAACTCGCATTTTATTCGCGTTCTCCCTCATCTTCGGAGCGTCTTTCGTTGCAAATCGTTTATGTCGGGGTTTTTTCCCCGTTGTCGCACGTTGAGCCCGTGGCGCTGGACGGGCTCTTGAAACTCTGGGAGGATCCGTCATTCACGCCTGTCGTCTCGTCCTGCGGAGTCGCCTCCTGCCTACAGGGCTTAACCGCCGGCCCTGCCGCTGCTACTGGCGTCTCGGGTGGCGCTGGTGGCGCTTCTGCTTGTCCTCCTGCCGGTGTTGGGCTTGCCCTAATCGTGGCTGTTGCGGACTTTACCCTACGGAGGACCATTCGTGGTACCCCTTTGCGAAGAAGCCGCGACTTGGAAGCGTGCGGTTGCATGCTCCCCGTCAGCTCTGTGCATAGGGTCGCGTTCCGCACAGAGTTCAACTTAAGCTTTCGGCGATCCGCTCGCTTCATCTTTCGCTTTCTACCGGCACTCCTCTTGTCGTCGCTTATCTCGCCGACGTTTCTCATCGCACTTTATCTCCCCCATGACCCAGCTCGTCTCACTTATCCACGATAACTCGCGCACTTGGTTCACGATTCGTCGTTTTACGATGCCTTTTCGCACCCTCCGGGCCACTGCGCCTTCGTCGTCCGTTCCGCTGCCGCTCATCGCTGGTCCTCTTTCCGGTGGTCTCTCATCGCCGGTCTCCATGGGTGTGTCCGCTTCCTTCGCCACGCTCGTCGATGGTTTGGCATTTATCGCCCCCGGACTTGGTTCTTCATAGCTGCTGTCGTCGCGATTGCGATATATCGCGTACAGTGTTATCTTTTTATTGATGCTGGATTGGTCGTCTGTCTTCGCAGACGCATCACTCATGCTCCCTCTGCGCTCCCCGTCGTTCATGGAAAGCACGTCGTTGTATCTCAGTTGAGTGTCCTTGGGATCAGCACCGCTTCGTTCGGAAATACGGGACTGGCTTCTTCGTACTGGCTATCTTTCGGATTCCGTGCCGCCTCTGTCTGTCTTTCTCTCTCGACGGTATCACGCACTTGCCGCAACTCCACCAATTCGTCGTCGGACTCGCTACTAGCATTCGCAATCCTTTTTTGGCGCTCTTGACCCTCGATTATGCCTCGATGCCGCTATCTATAGCGCTCCGGTTTCCCTTCGTCCGCCCACTGGTGGATTCAGCTCAACGATCTCGATGTGTTGTCGCTGACCTAGCGTTCCGCTCGTCAATGCTCCCTTGTCGTTACCCCGTTGTTGCGCCCGCTCTGTTTCTGCGTGTTTGTCTGCTTCCGGGCTCGGCTCCTCGTATTGACTGTTATCGTATCGAGTCATGGTAAGTCGCGTTCGATGTTCGCCCATTACTCCAATCCGCTGTTGCGTTACCGTCGGACTACCCGTCATTCGCGAATAACTCGACACGCGTTTCACGCTCCCCGTCATTCCTGATGTTTTGGACTTTGTCTACACGCTCCCCGTCTTTCTGGAATAACGCCCTTGGGGAGAACACGATAATTAGGGCCCCTTGATTCGACCGCGGTTTCCGGCAGTACTCTTCACGCTTATTGCGCACTGGGGTTCCCTCGCTCTAGAACGCTCCTTTTAATTTGCACGGTCTGGTCGGGATCTTCTCTAGTTGTGCCTTTGACCGTTGCGCTTGTTGGAGCAGATTCAGCTCCCTTTCTGTCGATTGATCCCGATTCTTCTTTGGATGGTTATCCTTGATATTTGGCTCTTCGACGATGTCGACTTCTTCGCGTTTTCTCGTATCGGGGCTGTCCGTCTGTTGCCAGCTCGACGATTTTGTTTGCGGCAAGCCTCTCGTCGCATCGTGGCTGTTGAAATTGTTTCGACGTCCAACTTCCCTCGTATTGATACTGCGGTTCGTCGCTCTTGATACGTCACGATTATTGGACAAATCGGTATAAACCGCGATATAACTCTATTCTTTTCTTCTTCCAGCACTACTACCTCGGCGTAGTGGAAAGAAGCCTCTCCTTTGTTATTTCGGGAAAGTCTGCATGCACCAACTATATCCCGGGACTGGCGAGAGGTGTCGTTGTCGGAACGGTGCGTGGAAAGGGGAAAGAGATTCTTATTCTACAATAATGGTGTATCACACAGGAGCAATTGGGAACATTTATTTGTATCTTTATTTTGTAGCCGGGGACCGGCTGTTGTTTTGTGACACGGGATTTTGAGGAATAAATTGTTATTGAATTTACTCGTTGCACAATGTTATTTTTTTAGTAGTAGATAAGGGAGGAACGGAAAAAAGGGGTGATTTATATTACTCGCGAATATAAAGATTAATACTGAATTTATTAATTCAATCTGTTGTTGATACAGTCTCCACAAAATAGGGGTAAGGAATACAAGTTTCGCTTGATTATTAAAATTAGACTTACTGTTATCACGCTGGCTTTTATGGAAGGAGCGCCTCCTAATGCGTCAATCAACCCTCGAGAACGGAAGGGCTCAAACTCGTCAGTCAGCCGGAACAGTTTCGAGATGAAAAGTTCACTGACGTTAGTTTAAGAGGCAAGAGTCGATACTTAATGATTCGACAATTAATTAATAAAGACAATGAGCATAATGCGTAATGAGCTTTGCGTAATGAGCGCCGCTCCGGCTGAGTACGTATTTTTTATAGTGGCCGATTTGAATGCTGGCTGAATTTGTCGTGTTCTGATTTGCTAATGAACGAATAGAGATGGTAATTATGGGAGGCTTCTATGGCTTCCATTGGTTAGAATTAATTCCTTCCGAAAGGTTCTAAGGACGCTTTGGAGGGAGTCAAAGGACGCACTTGAGTCATACTGCATTAGCTCTCGACTGGTAAATATGTTATTTTTCTCGAGCTATCAGTCGGACGCTTCTTCACCGAGATCCTTTGATTCCTGCCGGCATTATGGGTAGTACAGCCGAGGCGTGTTTTTAAATTATCGATCGCATTGTAGGTGACTGCGACGTCTTGGTGAATCATAGCATGGTAAGGGGCGGCTGCAACGTTTTGGTGAATCATAGCGAAGGTTAATATTAATACGAAAGTGCAAGGTTTGCGACAGAGACAATTATAATTGACCGATTTTGAAGAATTTTGAAAAAGGGGACAAAATTTAATTTGCGTGACGTCACACTCTACCTTCACCGTCGTCGCGTTTGCATGTTGGCTTGCCGCTCGAGTCACGCGTTTCTGTGAGCCGTCTTCTGGGGATCCCTATTTTTCTTTGCATCACGCTGTCCCATGCGTATCTCTTGCTCGGGGTCCTCCTTTCCGGTTCGCGCTTATCGGGGACGAACCATTGCTCGTCTTCGGAGTCTTCTTCGCCTTCGAAAAGGTCAGCCTACCTCTCTCGGAACTTTTCATCTGGGGGCGTCCCCATCGCGAAATCTCCGTCGTTATGACGGTTCTCGCTTATTTTTGGTCCTTTCGGGCTGATCCTCTCCCTCGGGGACGTTCTTCCTCTTCTTTCTTCTATCCGGCCATTGCTAAGTTTTTCCTGTGTGATGATGCAGCACCTCTTGTCGGTCTCGTCCGACTCGGCCGTTTCCCCCATCACGTCTTCGTCCTCGCGCTCCGTCTCCTCCGCCGTGATGGCCGCTAACTTCCTCCCGCGGTCATCCGGTTTCGTCGACTTGTTGTCAGGTCAATAAGGCCTGGAGGCTTGATCACTTCTTTCCTTGGGTTGTTGTCTCTGTCCCTGGTATAGCGTGTTACTCTGGGCTTCGCCTGACTGTCGTCACTATTTGGTTCTTCAATTATGTTGACTCCTCCGCGTTTTCCCGTTTCGGGACCGTCCGTCTTTCGCCAGCTGGTCGATTTGTTCTGCGGCAAGCTTCTCGTTGTATTGCGTCTAGAAAAATTGTTTTTACGTCCGACTTCCCTTGTATTGGCATTGCGGTTGGTAGTCTGGTTTCTGCTGTAATTCGCACGACTTGTCGGCTTGTCGATCGTTCTTCGCGCTTCTGCGCGCAGTCGTCGAATTTCTCGCTCGTTTTCCAGTGTATCCAACATTTCTATCATGTCGGTCACCGTTCTCGTCACCGATGGTCTCAGCTCCCTCGCGATCTCACTGTCGAAGTGCTCGCGGAGCGTCTGTACCACCTCCTCATCGGTCATAAGCGGTCTTAGTGTTTTCGCTCGACGCGCCATATTCAAGGCGTATTCCGTCATGGACATCTCTCCAAGCTTGTATTTTCCAAAGTAGATTTGCTGTCTAAAGCGCATCTGCGCTTGGCATCCCCAGAAGTACTGACGAAACTTTCCCTTGATGTCATATATGTCTTCGGCCAGTTGGAGCTCATGCCACTGGCTCGCCGCTCCTCGCATACATTTCCCAAAGTACATCTGTGATGAAGAACATCTGTTCTTCTTCGGGTACTCCTTCGTACTTTGCTAGTTTCTCGAATTTCTCGAAGAATCTTATGGGATTTTGTTTATCCGTTTTCCCAATAAACGTGAGGTCGTCGAACAGACTCTTCATTCATCCTCCTGTCGATAATCTGGCTTGGATTAGTACCATTTGCAGTCGTTCGCCATACATCTGACCTTCGTCGCCGTACGCTCGTGCGCCCATTTTTTCCGCAGGATTTTCTCTCACTGGACCACGGTCCGTATTTTGTGTTGCGACGGAGTCCCTTCTGTGCTGTCGACCGGTTCGTTGTATTTCCTGCAGTTGTGCCGTCAACTTTTGGACTTGTGCTATGAGCCTTAGCTCGTTCTCCATTAGAGGGTCCATATTCTTCTCTGCGCTGAGGTTTATCGCCTCGTTTTGTTCGCCGACTGAGATCACAATGTCCAGCGGTGGTTGTTCGTTGAGCTCTTGTCGATGCTCGGTGTTTTTTTCTTCGTTAACTTGCTTGTTAACTTGTTCGTTGTTGTTGTTGGCCGGTTCTCTAGACCTGGTGGTTATCCGCTGCGGAGTATGTCCCACCGTCGCCATACGAGTGTTCCTTCCTCGTCCGCCTTTCACTTTCGATATAATTTCGGCCCTATGGTGGCGTCGTTCTGGCGTATGTTGCGGGATTCAATGTCGCCTTCTCGCGCCCGTACGGTGTCGTAACGCGTTGTTTCAGGCCGCGTTCGTATGCTACGTTACGGCCTCGCGTTCGGTGTCGCACGTTGTCGTGACGCGTCAGGTTGGTCTTTCAGTTCCCGCGCAGTTTGTTTGCAGCTTGATTTCATTCGCGATGCTCTCGCTTATTTGGCCTATTGCCCTTGGCTGTATGTTGCCGAATTATTTGCAGTTTGATTTTAATCGCGATGCTTTCGCTTGTTTGGCTTCTCGCCCTTGGCTGTATGTTGCCGAAGTATTTTCACGTCCTTTGGGGTTTGATGTCGGCTTCGTACGTTCGTACGGTGTCGCTACGCGTTTGTCGAACCACGTTCGTGCAATACGTTATGGCCCCGCGTGCGTCTTCGCATGTTGTTTTGACGTCTCGGGTTGGTCTCTCTGTCAGCTCTGACGGTTATTAAACTTTTCTCGCGACACTTGTACTTTGATGGCTCTCGGACTTGTCGCGCTTTTCACGCCCGTACGTTTTCCGTGCGATTCTTTTGTATCGCCTCGGCAGTTTATCGCCGCACGATTTCACACGCTTCACGCACGTTGTTGTGACGCGGTTGCACTTTCTGTCTCTTCGCCTTGTCGCACTTGGTGTTCGCGAAGCTGTGACATGTCGTGTCCCCACGCACACTGTAACTTTGAATTTTCGCACTTGGGTGCTACCTTCTTTGACACCTGGGTGTCACACGTCACCGTCGCCTTGTCCAACAATGTGCGTGTTTTTTCTTTAGGTTACCTGTCGGTCCCCTCTGAGTTTTCAAGAAGACCCGTGACATGTATATCCTCGATCAAACACGTACGCGTCCTGTCACGGTCGCCATTTTGTTTTAAGTCACGAAGATTTTAACCCCGCCGAAGCATTGAGGTATCTACCGACGTATAGTTGGCAAACACATTAAAAATTATTGAAAATTATCTTATCTAATCGTTTGGAAATCATTTGGAGATATTTGGAAAAAACTTTTCAGAGTTTGGAAAATTATACAATAATCACAATTAATTAAAATCAATTAAGCGTATAATTAGCAGAAAGTGTCTAAAAAATATTTTTTTTAATCCAATCGCTCCAGAATCACTTGGATAAAGTGTCGATATAATTTTTATTATTTAGAAAACAACTCTATTTTAATAAAAATTAATTAAAGGTCAATATTTTGTTTTAATGTCTGCACTATAGTGTAATAAAGTGCACGTAATTTTCTATGTATGTTTTATTGGTAAACAGGCTGTGTTTCGATATTGACTGTAAGTAAGTACTGAAAAACTATAATGTTACATACGTCATCACTTTTTCAGTATTTTATAGTCTACTAAGACTACGTCGGCATGGAGTCGGTTATTACTCCAGTGTTACTCCAATCCATTTTGGAGTAAAATTAATTAGCACAAAAATCCAGCCATGACCGATGACGGCTTTACTTATTTAATTTGTTGTTTTTATGTATCGGTCGATATTCTATATTCTGTTTTAAAAATAATTATTTACACTACGGTACTGCTTCAGGGGCACAATGATTACAAAAAGTTTTTTCTTATTTTTATAATCTTTCACATTCGTGCAGATTTAAAAGAAATTGGCTACAATGTTTTCATGAGATCAATGTGTAAATGGAATAAAAATAGCGCGTGTACGTGTATATAATGTAAAATTTTGTCAGCTAAATAAAAAATTTTCATCTTTTTACTTAATTTTCATGATTTAAAAAAAATCAATTTTATCAGTATTAAAACCCTAGCTCACTACGTATTTCTCTGAAAGTAGAGCATCCTATGTCTTTGACTGTTTGCGAACAATAATCTATAATCTGAGTCTATCTCTCTACCTCTCTTTATTCCTATCTCTGCCTCCAATATCTGTCACCATCGCAAACCAATCTTTTTGTCTTTCAACAGGTGTCCTACCATTTTTTCTCTCTTACTCTTTATTGTTTTACATATATTTATTCTTAATTATTTCTAATACCTTCCTATTGCTAATCTTATCTATGTGATATCAAGAGACACGGTAATGTCTCGCGCTAAGTACACGCGGAGCGAGACCGACCGTGACTCTTTTACGCGACGTGAACGGATCAAGTTCTAAGTAGGCTTGATCGATAGCTTGGGGTCCAATTAGGGGGGGGGGGGGTTCTCTTATAATATTCCGCTCCGTGCCCTACGAGCAGAGATATTGCGACGCAAAGTCCAAATGTGAAAATTTTTTATTAAGATACTTCTTCTACTACTTTTAACGCCGATTTGACATATACATACACATACATATAATCAGAAACGTTACTTTCACTTTTTCGACACTGGCGGCTAGCGGCGTTAGTATCGCAGTGCAGACAGTGCGTTCGTTTAGCGCGCTGTCAGTCAGTTCATCAGTTAACCTATCTCGATTGATCGAGAGACACGGTGGTACGCGCGGAGCGAGACCGACCGTGTGACTCTTTACGCGACGCGACGATTAATTCAAGGTAATTGTTTTATGTAATTATCCTATAATTATCTTATTCTATATATTACTGTTATACTTATTTTATTTATTGTTTATACTACGTTTACGTGAGTGTTTATACATACAGGTTAATAACCTATTACATTATTTTTTTTATATTGACGGCAGGGAGCTGATACTGAGATCAAGGAGTCTGTTCACACGAGGCGTTCTGCCGCGCGATTGTGGCCGCGCGTTAACGTTTGCACGAGCCGCACGCCGCACGCTGTCGCGAGGTAAGGTGCGACAACGCGCGCATACGCGCGTACGCGAAACGGCAGTAACACCGTAATCGTGCCGGCGCGCGGCAATATACTGAATTGAATTGCTTCGTGCTTATCTGGAGATTTCGTATCCCTACATCGTGTTACCACCGCTGCCGGAAAAGAAGGTTCTCTACGCTTGGCAGAAAGTGACGACTGACACGTTTGATCCCGACTTCGTTGATCGCAGAAGAGCTGGACTCGAGGTACGTTTCCGATTTGCAATTATAAAAGTATCGTGCGATGAATGTTGTACCCAATTATAACCTCAAATGAAGTTGTGCACGTTGCTAGTAACACTGTTTGTAAAAATTTGCGTGAAAGATATATATATATATCTTGATATATAATCATTTTAACACATTATTTTATTTTTAGACGTAGCTGTTGATGAAAGAGAATTAGATGGTGACTTAATTTTGAGAGATATAGGTCAAGGATTGCCATTTAAAGCTGGTACGTTTGATGGTGCTGTCAGTATTTCTGCGCTTCAGTGGTTGTGCTATGCAAGCAAAACTTTGCACAATCCTACAAAACGTTTATATCGCTTCTTCTCAACGTTGTATACATGTCCGTCAAGAAGCGCAAGAGCAGTGTTACAATTCTATCCAGAGAACGGTGAACAGGTTGTTGAATTAATCACGGCACAAGCCACAAAAGCTGGTTTTTATGGCGGTGTGGTTGTCGATTTTCCGAATAGCGCAAAAGCAAAGAAAATGGTCTTGGTTTTAATGACCGGAGGAGTTGCTTCGCTTCCAAAGGCACTAGGCGTAGAGAACGAAGATAGACAAACCGTCGCTAATTCAAGAAGGTTTGATCCTCTCGTTGTCCGTTATATCTATTATTTTGTAATTTGCAATTATTTTAAATATTTCTCTATTTCACCTTCCAAAAATTGTGATAATTTTTTTGTACATAGAGAATACATAAAGAAAGCCAAGGGTAAATTATTGAAGAAAAGTAGGGACTGGATTTTAGAGAAGAAAGAAAGGCGGCGCCGGCAAGGAAAAGAAGTTAGAGATGACTCCAAATATACTGGACGAAAGAGACCCGGGAGATTCTAATTGTAAGATATACTTCGTTAATATAAAAGACACTATTTTAATAATTTTTTTTATATTATAAATAAAAAATTGATAAAATTGATCGAATTAATTTTTGTCTGTTTCTACAAAATTAATCTACTACTTAAAAATAATATATGCATAAAATATTTTCTTTAGTAACAAAAAATATGTGCCTCAAAAATTTTTTTGTTAAAGAATATCAAACATGAAATTTTAATAATCGTCGGAATATTTTTCTTTAAAAAGGATATTAGGAGTCCTTTATAATGTTAATATTACGGTAATAATAGGCAATATTAATAAGAGATCAAAGAATGAGTTCAATATTTTATATTTTATTTTATTCTTTACGTAAACATAAATTGTGAAATACTCTGTTGTACTCCAGTAGGTAATACTTTTTCTAATTCTTTAGGATCCAACCACTGGTATTTTACGTTATTGTTGATATCTCCATCCATATGTTTGGCTAAGAAATAAAATATTTTAGCACCATAACTTCCTTGCTCGCAAAGTTTCTTAGGATATTTGTATTTGTAGAATTCGATAGCGTTTCTGTTCGAGATTCCGTTAACGTTGCGCCGTCCGATCAGATGGCAGCATCGATCGGGTATCGACGCCCGATCACCGCGACAGCTGGCGCACGCACGAGCGCGCTCATCGCCAACGTCTTCCT